CAATTTATATACTGTATAGTAATGAAACTTTATTATGATCTAATTTTAAAAAAAATATATTGACTCGCAATTTTATATAGATAAATTGCCTCAGTCGAGTAGTTAACACATCCGTACAAATGATCGGATGCATGCATGTGACATTGTGGTTATTGAAGTTGTCAATCAGCCATTTCATTAAAATTTCCTTTTAATTTGAAAAACTGTAAATTTTAAAGCTCTTAAACTTTTTTCAGCAAATAATTAGCCAATAATAACTTTTTTTCTCTTAAAAATCCCAACAGCTCAAACAATTAGTTCCCACTTGATTTGTGTTTTATTTTTCAGTTTTGAGCTTTGGATTCATTTTCAATTTTTTGTTTTAATGGTCTAAATAAAAAAATTGACAAATACGTTTAGTTTGAAATTTTTAAAAATTATTATATGACATTTTATTCAATGAATTTGACTACTCAATAAAATAGAACAATTTTGCACTAATATCTTATCAATTACTATATATACATTTTAAAGTTGGTGAATTTTACAATATTTTTGTCACTATAAAAATAAAATACAAACAAATAATAAATTGATTTGACAAAAAATAAAAAATATAAATTGACTTCATAAACAATGCGTTATTTTCCATTGGAAAGAAGGGGAATTGGATTACCCTTTTCTAGAGATGATGAGTTATTTGGGTGGGTTTGATTTGCTATTGGAAAGAAGAATTGTACTTGTAAAGGCTATGATGCCAGTCCTCCTCAATAGGCGATGATGAAATGCTTTCTGCCAAATTGCTATTGCCCAAAATATTCCGCTGAAATGAGCCCAGATAACCAAGCCAAATACTCGATCCGATAAAAGCGTGTTTGGCTAATGTAACTTTAGTTGTATTTCCTTTAACAAAAGCGTTATTTTATCTAGACCGTTGGATTGACTGCTGCCCATCTCGATGCGTTGATATTTGGTATTTGAATGGTTTTTCATTATTTCATTATGTTTTCATTCTTCTTGAGGGTTTTCTAGATTCTTCGGCTTTCTCTCTTTTCATCTTCGTCTTCTGCTGTAAGGAACTCTTGAATATGCTTCTTAAGTGTGTTTTCGGTGTGAAATCTAGTGAAAGAAACGTTGTTGTTGTTGTTG